ATTTTAGTAACTAAATAGTAACCATAAATACAATAAATATTTTGCCTCGGAAGTGTTCTTGCAAAAAAAGTATAGTTCTTTTATCTGTATACACCATGGCACTCAATAGTTATCAAATAATACTGCCGTAGTACTGAAAATTATACTAATATATGCCAAAAGCAAACGAACATAACACCATGGTGCGTTTTGTGTCTGTTTGGTCTTTTTGGACTGATTTGAAACAATTGCATTTTTCATAAGCTTGACATTCTTTACCTTTCTAACCAATGCATACAGCTATTATTTTTGCATTTTTATCAAACTAGTTCTGTTTCATTTGAATGCACAGGAGAACTTGCTTACTGATTATCAAATAAAACCCAGTGAAATGTCTTTATCTGTATAAGCGTGTTTATTTAATGCATTTTTTCCCCTAGTGGCCCTGGCCCAGAAGAGGCTTATGGACGTCAAGCTCGGACAGCTGTCATCCTGGCTGGGAACAAGAGACTTCACCCCAAATGGACTTCTTGGTAGTGTTCGTGGAGGTAACGACCAGTATATTCAATATTAGAAAAGCGTCTTTGATCAGTATTGTAATCATTTCTGTTGTATAATATTTTCCCCAATCAAAACTTCTTTTAGGATATGAGAGATATTTCAACAAATACATCAATGTGAAGAAAGGTGGGATTGGTGGAGTTGCCATGTTCCTCGCTGGTTACGTTGCCCTGAGCTACATCTGGGAATACGATCACATCAGTAAGTACAAACTCGGTGTATTAAAGAATCAGTAGTAGCGTGTCCTTCACTGTTGTACTGTTGTCTGAATTTAGTGTCACTGAGGAAGTGTTTTCTTGTCCAGAGCACGACAGGTGGAGGAAGTACCACTGAAAGCCACTGGACCACCAGGCCACTCAAATCTTCTGCCTGCAGCAGTGTGATCATTACACATCTCGGCTTTCTCTGTTTGTGACTGTTGTGACCAAGAATAAAATGAAATCTATTTAATTTGGACTCTTTATTCAAAGCATGCAAAATGTTGGCTGTATGTATAAGAGCTTGATTATTATTATTCACATTTCTTGTGATGAATTAAACGTGTATTAAATTGATTCAGTAGTCGGCAAACAAGGTGGTCAGTAACACTGCAGCCCAGATTACTAAGGAAAATGGAGTTAGTCTTTATTCAGGCAAAAGCTAAAACCACAATAATAGTTGATATGTGCTACTTGTAATGTTTATAAATGTAGTCCAAGATAATGGTTTCATAAATCCAGTACATCTTTATTGTAAGAAGTACAACAACCCAACAATCAGTTTCATTTAATATAAACAAGTATCTTGATGGACTACAAAGTGGTGTCCTTTCTGCCTCCAATTTTGGTTGTTAATTGACAACATTTTCTCTAAAAACATACTTTGCTCTAATTTCAGCATTGCTTCAAAGTTTAAGCAATGAAGATGCTTGTTGCTCCAATACAAAAGACTATAAGGTTTCATGTGAAAGTAAAACAAATCTATATGAAAACGGTGGTTATTGATCATTCTATGTTTTCATTGTGTACTATCTGAGATGCACTTGGCACATGGACAGTGAGGTAGAGCCACGTTTATGTCCCTCAACTATAGCTTTTGCAGTGAAAAGTTAAAGAAATGATTCACCCAAAAATTAAATTGTACTCACCCTCAGGCCATCCAAGATGTTCATGAGTGTGTCTTTATTGGAACAGATTTGGAGAAGTTTAACAACACTCACCAATGGATCCTCTGCGGTGAATGGGTGCCGTCAAAATGAGAGTCCAAACAACTGATAAAACATTAAAATAATCCACCTGCGTTAATGACATTTGTTTTTTAAAACCATGCAGCTTTTCACTTCACAATATGAAAATTGATTAAGTAATGTGGATTATTGTGATGTTTTTATCAGCAGTTTTGACTCTCTTTCTGACAGCACCCATTCACTGCAGAGCATCCATGAGCAACTGATGTAATGCTAAATTTCTCTAAATCTGCTTTGATGAAAAAACAAACTCGTACATCCTAGATGGCCTGAAGGGGTGTCAGTTTTCAGCAAATTTTAATTTTTGGGTGAACTATTTCTTTAATGTACCAGGAATGAAATATGTCACTTTGCAAGTTATAGTCACATTTATTGGAGATCCTTTTTGTAGAAAACTTTACTGTCCACTCAAAAATGCCAGGTGTCCTTTTGTGCATTTGTTTGCGTAATGGCCCTTCTCACCGCACTGGAAAAAGCAAACAGATACTGAATATGACTGTACGTTTGAGGGCATCATAGTAGTATGTGGGGGAGAAAAAAAAAAGTATTTTATGAATAAAATCAAATGACGTCCCACCTTGTAACACGTAACTTGATCCAGTGGACGAGGACCGCGAGGTCCACCCATGTTGTTGTGAGAGTGCACTATCCCAACAGCATTTGGCATTCTCTGGTTGTTGTTGACATTGGTGTTGGTTAACTGGATGAGTGACTGTGATGACCTGTTTGTGGGCTGCATGTTTTGCTGCTGGAGATTAAAATTAAGATGAAACATTAGTATCAAGGTAAACAATAAACATGAAAAGATTAAAAAAACTCACAAACCTTTTGCTGAGACTGTGCCTGTTGTGGTAACGGTGGCTGTTCAGTTGCACCCATAGGGAGTTCAAATCTTGGGCTAGGAATTACAAAATAAAAAAATTCATATGCTTAGAATTAATGCAGAAATGTTTATTTAAATCACATATTATGTATATGCATAAATTGCAATCACAGATACTCACTGCATAAATTTGCATGACTTGCCCTCTGGACAGAAGCCCACAAGGTAATTTACACAGATGACTCTTCTTGTGTGTCTGTGCCTGCAATCCGGACCTAAAGGGAAGGTGAAGGGAAAACGTGTTGATTTCTTCCCATTACAATCAATTTAGAAATATCTGTAAAATAATGTAACTTCACAAAATTCAACGTAAAATAATGCGGACTCATACAACTTCTTTTAAATGCAAATATCTGAAAAACACTGCAAAAGGCTTACCATGCTTACAAAAGCCCCTATCATACCATGGGCAATCTTTAATCTTAGATTCTGGGTCAATGTGCAAAAATGGACACTCTTTATTACTGCACTCCCCTGTAAAACAAAAATAACTTATTAAGACTTATTATTACACATAGATAGATAGATAGATAGATAGATAGATTTTTAAAATACTAACCAAATTTAGAGTAGAAATAACATTCAGGCATCTTTGTCATATCATACTCATGTAAAAATTCACATTGGTCTCCTTTCTTGCATAAACCTCTAAGCCAGTGTTTGCACACCACAGACTTTTCTCCACTGATGTGTCTGAAAGGACACATCCCACCTGTCAAAAGAGAAAGCTGTAGAGTCTGATCGAAGCCATAAATCAGATTTTCACATGAAACCCTTAAACACGTTTTTGTAACACATGCCTTTCATACAGGCAGCTCTCATGAAGAACTCGCACACAGCGGCGCCAGATTCTGAAAAATATTAAGAACATTTTGTATCATTGTTAAAAGTCTTCTGTCCTAAATAATACTTCTCTAGCAATCCATCTTATATGTTGAAAACAATAAATCAGAAACACAATTGTAATTGAACATTTAAGACAAATATGAATCCACTTACTATCCATTCCTGGAAATGGCAATGGCTGAGCGCCTAATTGTTGTTCTACTGCGATTTCTAGATCAAACTTGATATGATCGACACACGAGATTAATTCCTGCATTTTGGTAGTATATCCTCTATATTTTTACCAGCAGTTGAAACGCTTCTCTTTATAACACCTAATCAGTAAACTAAAAGAAGTCTTAATGGCTAACAACTTATCAGTTTGCCGTTTGGTCAGGTTTAATTCTGGACGTAAGAAGAGAGAATAGCGAAAAGGTATACAGATTTATTAACTGGGTAAACAGTTTTTAATGTAGCTCATGAGTAAATCGGTAAAGATGAAGATAAACATTGTAAACAAGCAGTTGATTTTAGAACCGTCTACTTCCACAGCGCTGTTCACGAGTGACCCCTGAACTCCAGGCCGTACAATCGATTGCAATAGCATCCATTTTCTGGGAACGCGCGAATGCGGTTTGTTAATTGTATTTCTTAAGATGAGTAATTTCGCCTTATTAATATTAAAACGCGTGTCAATGATCTTCTAATGATTTGTCGTTAGATGGCAGCTTTGACGGCACAAAGAATATCGGAAAGGGCTGGGTCTTGATCAGTGTGTTGGTTGTTGATTAAAAGGTCTGCTGTAGTTACTAGCGCCATGCAGCCCCTAACAAAGATACTGTGAGGAGTGCTGACCTGGGATTACGCAAATATATTAAAAAAGAAAGATAATCGAATTGAACGAGGTTTACATTTCATAGGTGTAAACTACAAACCAGAAGCTGTTTTTTGTCTGTTGTTCTTAAAGAAATCCAAAACTATATAGACTATATCCTGTTCAGGATACCAAGACTCAATACAACTAACGTATTAAAACTGACTAAATTAAATATTTCTGTGAAATTACAAAGCCTATTGTGATTCTACAAGTATGTTCTACTTATTAAACCTCTGGCTAGTTTGTTATATTGTTTAGATTTTAAAAAACATAGTAATAATTGTTAAAACAGAATAAATTAAATTATTTCAAATGCATCTCTTTACTAATATTTTCGTTATTCGGTTCTGTGTTAGATCATTTAAAATGATTGAATACACACAGATTTGCCCAGCTTGTCCTGAACTAGTACATATATTTTTAGTTTTCATCCCATGTTTAAGATGGTGAAATTCGGAGTTTCAGTCATACATTTGTGTATTTCTGTATGCCATTTTAGTAAAGAAAATATAGAAGATAGCTGATGAATCAGGAAGATTTTCTCTTTGACCCTGACTTGTATGTTTTCATCTTTGTTTTCAAAAAGGAAGTGGTAATTCTGAAAAGGTCAGGATATGGAGACGTACCCTCATTCCTTCCGAGATAAAGTTGATAACACCCACTTCGTTTTTCTAACATCAACTTCATTAAAAGATTATTCTTAAACCTGCTAGGGACTGATCTGAAAACTGATA